GTTCCGCTTTATCCTTTCTGATCCCGCACAGTCCAGCTCAGTCATGGGCTCATTCGGCGGCGAGCGAGGGGGGGAAGTGAGCAGGGGCGGGCCTTCTCAGAAGGCTCGGAAGTCCCCTGGCCTTCTGAGAAGATTCCTAAGCCTTCCCCGAAAACGCAGAAAACCTCTCAGAAGCCTTCTGAGAAGGCCCGCCGACTTCTCAGAAGGCCTTCTCCTTCTCACTTCCCCCCCATCGCCCGCCGCCGGCTTATCAATCTGGGCTCATCCAGCTGAACGGCCAACCACTGACAACCTTGAATCGTTTCCCCGAAGACCCCCCACGGGTTCTCTCCCTACGAGGAGCAGCGGACGCTGGCCAATAAGGGCACCTGGGCCGCGTCGCCGCAGAAGCAAGCCTCGTCGGCGCCGAGCGGGAGATCCAGGCAGGCTGCCGCGCGATGTCCAGAGATCGATCTCGACTTAAGGGTGACCTTTCGCCAGAGTGATCTTTCGTGCAGGCCCAGTTCGGGCATAGCCAGGACCCAAGGTAAGGGGACCCGGCTAGTAGTAGGGCCCCGGAGCCCCCAGATTGGCCAGAATCACCAAGCCAGGCCTGCCGTGGCTGGTGTTCGTCGGGTGACGGCAGTTCCGGCTAGTGGAACGGGGCGGGGGCCTCCCCCCGGCGCCCTCAGCGTGTGTAGTGCCCACCCCTCGGGCTAGTGGCCCCTGCTGCAGCCCCCCCCCCGCCCACCGAGGCGCGACCAAGGTGCCTGCTGCCGCGACAGCGAAGCCAGGAAGCGGCGGCGGAGGAGGAGGAGCAGGGAGGGAGGGAGGGAGGGAGGGAGGGAGGGAGGGAGGGAGGGAGGGAGGGAGGGAGGGAGGAGGAGGGAGGAGGAGGAGAGGAGGAGGAGGAGGAGGGGGAGGAGGGCCTCCCCCAGTACACCTCGCGAAGCCAGGCCCCACGAAACCCGGTTCGGCCAACGCCCGACCAAGGGGGTCCCCCCTGTCGCGGAGCGCGGGGCGGCAGCAGAGGCCTGCGCGCCCGGACTCGGCCGCCCCCGGCGGCCCCTCGGGCCTCGCGCCGCCCACCCAGAGGGTCACTCCTGCCAGAGGGTCGCTCTCGCACAGGAAGCAGTCCGGTGACGACGTGCCGCCTCCTGGTTGACTTCTTCTGCTTTTTCTCTGGCCATCCGAGTCCTTCAAAATACGGGCAGCACTTATATCCATATCCAGAGCGTCGTGGACTTTTTGGGAAGAGGTGCCGCACCGCCGAGGCGCACTGGATACGGATAAAATCAAGCCTCTTGGGACCATATGCTTATCCGTATCCAGTGCGTCTACGGCTTCTGGGGAAGAGAGCCCAAGAATCCAAGACGCGCTGGATGTGGATATAACTATTGCCCGCACAAGAGCCACCCGTAGGAGGACATGTCCGACCGAACTCTGCGCGTCGTTTAAGACCCCCATCGGGTTTCCGAGGGTTGGCGGCAGGCCTTCCTGGCGCGGCGGGCGGCCTCTCCTCCTCTTCGGGGGGTGGGCTGCGCCATCCGCTTGCGAGCTGGTGGTCTTGCGTCGTGCCCCTGCCCTTCCCCAGCCCCAGCCTCGTGTATTTTGAACAAGAAACAACCACATAAACACAAACTTTTGGCGCTCCGCGCGGATTTCTTGGATCCGCGCCTGGGCCCCCTGCGGCGCCTCCCGCGACGCCCCTGGCGCGCGGAGCGCGCCAGGGAGAGGGTCCAGCGCGACTCCAAGAAATCCGCGCGGAGCGTCAAAAGTTTATGTTTACGAGGTTGTTTCTCCTTCTTCTACGAAGGGGCACCCATGTGCCCCGCGTGGTCGCGCCCCGTGCCCTCTGCATCCCCGGGGCGATGTGGCCCTCCCATGGGTCTCGCGTCCTCCTTTGCGTGGCCTCTCCAGCCGAGCGCGATTGCCTCAGCCTCGCCCTCACGTGTGCACCTTCTCTTCGGCGTGAGGAGCATCTTGGAACACGCGCGCGGTGTATCGAACCATGCACGGGGAGCCGAGGCACCCGACGACGTGCTTTCTTGTCCACAACGTCGACCCTGGACCCCGTCCCCCCGTGGAACGGCTTCTCATCCTGGCGGTCCCGGGGCCCGGTGAGGGTCCCCAAAGAGCGAAAAACTTCCCTGCGTGATTGTTTCATGACCCGACCCAGGGCCCGGAGAGGGTCCCCAGAGGCCGAAAAGAACGAACAACTTCCCGTCGTGATTGTTTCATGACCCGACCCAGGGACCGATAAGGGCCCCCAGAGGCCGAAAAGGACGGAGAGCCTCCCGTCGTGATTGTCTCATGAGCCGACCCAGGGCCCGGCAAGGGCCCCCAGAGGCCGAAAAGGACGAAGAGCCTCCCATCGTCGTGATTTTTGTCATGACCTGGGCGGTAGTCCGAGACCCCTTCGGGTCATAAACAAACCCAGCGGGAGGTTTGTCATTCTTTTTGGCCTCCGCGGGGGCCTTCACTGGGCTGCGGAACCGTCGAACAACGACTCAGGATGAAGATCCAGTCTGGGGAATGGGTCGAGACCTGTGAGGGTGTCGAGGTTGTGGAAAATATGACGCCGAGGGTCTGGGATAAAGGTGGGGGTGACGCAAGGTGCATCTTTTGTGCCCGAAATGGGGCCCTGAAGGGGCCCTTTGAGGCCCCAAAGAGGCACGCAGGGTGCACGTTCCTTCTCCCCACCGCATCACCGCCCCCTCCCTCCAGGATGACGTCGGGGGTTGGGGGATCGGCGGTCGACGTTCTATCCACGTCCCTGCTGCAGCTTCCCCAATCTGGGCGCCATGGGGTAGCATGGCATGGATGAAGAAGCCCGGCTGCAGAGGCCGGATTCCCCCCTCCCCCCCCCCGGGTCTGCATGGGCGTGAGCAGGGGCCCGGATCAAGCGCGGATCGCCTAGGGGGAGGCGGGAGCGGGAGGTCGAGGCTTGACACTGGAGGTGCCTGGAGGCGCTTCGGCGTCTCAGTTGGGCATGCAGCAGGCTTCGCGTCGCCAAGGCTGGAGCGCGCTCCCCGAGAGGCCCTGGCCCTCGGGGGCGGCTTCTGGATAGCAGGCGCCGGACACCGGGCGGCTCCCACAGGAGTCGAGGCGGCCCGCTGCTCCCCACGAGCTCGGCCCTCGTGGGCCTGTCCCGGGGCCCCGGGGGGGCGTTGCGAGCAGCAGTGGGTGCTGGCCGCTCGGCAGCGGGGGGGGGGCAAGGGGGGGAGTGAGCATTCGAGGCAGGTGCCCCGGGGCTTCGGCCGGGCCTGTTCCTCTACAGGGAGAGTATTCAAAAATGCAAAAAAAAATAGTCAGGGGACGTTGTTAATTTATTTATTTTTCCAACAAAGAAAAAATATGTTTGGGATCTTTGGTGGGGCATTTTTTGACTAGGGGGGCATGCCCGACCCAACCCTAGACGGCTCCCGAACGGCCCCTAAAATGCCACCGTGGGCCCCAAAGGAGAGGTGATGGAGAGGCGTGCGCTTCTTAAGCCCTGGTCCCCCCTCCCCCCCCCCACCGAGGGGGCGCCTGACAGTCGGAGGACACAGCGCTCCGCAGGGCAGGGGCTGAGAGCTCTGGGTGCCCACGTCGCGAGAGAGATCGGGTCGCTGGACTGTCTGGCTCGGAGCACTGGCCGGTGCCACTCGGCGCACAGCGGATGGAGGATGGATCGAGATGAGCTGCTGTCAGGGATCCCAGGTCTTGGCTGCGTGATGGAAGCCGGTCGGGATTGCCGCCGTCGGGGTGGGAGAGGGAGGGACGAGACCCTGTGGCCAGCTCGCCTCGACCGCCTCTCCGGCGGCAGGGTCGGTCGATCGATGGAAGACCGCCGGGGCGACGATCGAGATGGGCGCGGCGTTCGAGGAGCGTGATCGGACCGTGCAGTTGGGCGCTGTGATCGACGGTGCGGTTGTCCAGGCTCTGATCTCACGGTGGTGGGGCGGGCGGCGAGCTCGGGTGCCCCCAGGGCCAGCTTCCGGACATCCGTTGCGCCGGGCAGCCTCTCGAGACACGTTGTAGATGTTCCGTCGGGCCTGTTCCTCCACAGGAGGAAGATTCCAAACATAGTCAAAAAGCAGTCAGGCGGCGAGTTTTCGACTATGTTTGGGTACTTTTGAGTTTTGTTTGGGCGTTTCTGTTTTTCCTCCAGGATCGGCCTGTAGGGGACAGGCCCGACCTAATTGCAGATGTGGCCCCGAGGGGCGCGAAGCGAGCCGCGCCGTGTGGTCTGGGCAGCGGGGGGGGGCGCTCGTCTCCGGGCGGGCTGCGCACGTGCGCGAAGGTGGCAGGCATCTCGTGCAGCTCGAAGCGCGAAGCCTGGTAACCTGTAGTCAACCTGCAGGGTAAGGATGGGCAGCCTTCCCCAGGATTATGATGTTCGACATTAGATATCTAACCTACTTTAGTCTTGATCACCAGAAAAATCTCGAGCACGAAGACTCTACCCACAAAGTCGAGGGTTTTCACGTGTCGGGCCCTGGGAGACACTCTTTCGACACTGTTTCGACACGCTTCCGACACTCTTTCGACACTTTTCCGGGTGCTCGCAATTATTTCCGGGATGCGGTCCTTAAGCACGATGGGAGCAGCATAACCCCAGGGTGCCCTTGCATCCTCGCCTCCTCGGTCCATCCTTGGCCGCTTTCGTTGGCCGCGCCCCAGTCGAAAAAGCTTCGAGATGGGCGTCGGAGGCCCTTGCATCCTTACCCCGCAGCATGAGGCAGACGAAGAGGCCAAGCAACGGTTCCAAGCGTGAGAGCGACCCCCACTTCTGCCGCAGGGGACACCAGTGGCTGTGCGACCTGCGCACGTGGGGCATCGGCCTGGGCCTGCTGGCTGTCGTCGTGCCGCTGGTGCTCCACTTCTTGCGCGACGAGGCGGATCATCAGGAGGAGTTCCGCTCGGCGGTGACCCAGATCGCTCGCGTGCAGAAGCAGGCCCTGATCAACCAGCTGCGGACATCGGTGGGATCCCTCAAGGCCCTCCAGGTTCTCCTGGAGGTCGACGAGGGTGTCGTGATGGACGACTTTGATCGAATTGCGAGGTGCTTGATTCAACGCTTTGGAGGCATTACGTCACTCCAGTTGGCGCCGTTTGGCGCTGTGTCCATGGTGTATCCAATGTCCGCGCCTGGTATGGACAATCAGAAGATCATTGGCAGGAACGATTTCTTTGACCCTGTCCACGCGGACCATGCGATGGAGGCCATCGACAGCAAAGAGCCAAGGTTGTCGGGACCCAGGGTCCTGCTACAATGCAACAAGGAGACGGGCATTCTGGTTCGCCTCGCGATATTCTCCAAGGCCGGAGGGCCCAAGCAGCTTGCACCTCCCCCCCGTGCTTCACCAAAGCCAGCTCGTGCCACGCCCGCAGCAGTCCTGCCATCACTGCGCATGTGCGTGTAACGTAGCTGGCGTAGCTTACCAGTGCATGTGTAACCTGATGTTGACTGCGGGCAACGTGCACGCATCGCACGGTCGATGGAGGAGGATACCCTCGGACCAGGCCATGTGTGCGCCCAAGTGGGCGCAGCCCTGCACAGGGGGGTGGGAGGGTCGCTTCTCCTCCCCCCTCCTTTTTACAACTACTAAATATGAATACTACTCTCCCTCTTCCCCTGATGACGTCTTGGGAGTAGCCGCCCCTCCCCCGCGTACTGTTTTTTTACACAGGTTTCCCCGGAGTTGGGTTTTCGCCTGCATTTTTTCCAAAATGCTGCCCTCGCTGAGGCGCCGGCATCATTTTCGGGCCCCGCTCGTTCCGAATCGTGCTCCCGCTGCAGCGTGGCTCTCATTTTCGGATCGGTGTTTTGCCTCCGTCGTTCAGGATGGCGTTCTCGCCCCAGCGCGGGCCTCTTTCTCGCGCGCCCATCCGCCCGCCACCACCGCACCGCGCCCCGCCCCGCCCACCGCCACTTCCACCCACCAACGCACGCACGCACGCACGCACGCGCACCGCCACCACCACCCCACTACCCCACCCACCACCACCACGCTACACCGCGTCACACCACATCACACGCGCGCGCACACAGCACACGCACGCACGCACGCACGCACGCACGCACGCACACGCGCACGCACGCACACGCACACGCACACGCACACGCACGCACGCACGCACGCACGCACGCACGCACGCACGCACGCACGCACGCACGCACGCACGCACGCACGCACGCACGCACGCACGCACGCACGCACGCACGCACACACACACACACAGACACACACAGACACACAGACACACAGACACACGCACGCACGCACGCACGCACGCACGCACGCACGCACGCACGCACGCACACGCACACACACACACACACATACACACACACACACACCACCACCACCACCACCACCACCACCACCACCACCACCACCACCACCGCCACCACCACCACCACCACCACCACCACCACCACCGCCATCACGCACGCACGCACGTGGCCCACCACCAAACCACCAAGACGCCACACCACGTCACACCACAGCACACGCACACACGCACACACACACACATCACCACCACCACCACCACCACCACCACCACCACCACCACCACCACCACCACCACCACAACCACAACCACAACCACAACCACAACCACAACCACACAACCACGCACACACGCACGCACGCACGCACGCACGCGCACCACCACCCACTACGCACGCGCGCGCGGATCCACAGGTCCGCTTCGACACGCGTCCGCGGATAGAGAAAATCAGCGCCATGGTAAGGGATGGGAGGGAGGGGTAGGACGTCAGATTTGACGCGAGCGCACATAGCTTGCCTTCCTCCCCCTCCCCCTCCTCCCTCCTTCATCTCTGCCGACCTCCTCTCCTCCTCCTCCTCCTCCTCCTCCTCCTCCTCCTCCTCGTGTCCTCCTCCTCCTCCCTCCTCTCCTCCTCCTCTCCCTCCCCTCCCCTCCCTCCTCCCTCCTCCCTCCTCCCTCCTCCTTCTCCTCCGCCTCTCTTGGGGTTTCTGAAGCTGTCTGACTGCACTGGAGGCAAGTGTGAGAACCCCTGGGTGCAAACACTGTTCGGGGAAAGCTCCACAAGCTACTTCTTGGTCGCACTATGCCGGCCCCGCTGCGACCTCCTGAGGAACGACTCAGAGGAGAAGCGGGGACCACCGCCACCGAGAACCGATCGCGGGGGGGGGGGGGGGCGACCCCTGGTCGGTGGCACGGCCCCCCCCGGTGGGGTTCTCGGGTTCTCGGCGGCGGTCCGTGCTTCTCCCCCGAATGGGTATCCAAGTTGCTGCCTCTGAGTTGCTACCTCCACGCCGGCCGTGGTTTTGGGGTTGTCACCGCAGGCGGCGCCGCGGTTCCTGCCGAACAGCGCATGGCGGTTTCCAAACGGCACCACCCTCGTCCAGCGCTGCCAGGAGCTCGGACGGGCAGAGGCAGGGCACGGCCAGGCGGCAGCCGCGGCGCCGGTGTGCTCTTTCCCGGGCCACGTGGTCGACGGCAGCCAGACTCATTTCTGGGGTTTCGCAACCATGGTGGGACGGAGTCCAACGCATTTTTCGATCCCATCCTATTTTTCCTTTTTATCTCCATGAGGCATGATACAACCCCTAACCCTAACGACACAGTGAATCCTTGGCCTAACTTGGGTCCACAGTTTGGGGGGATGTCCCTAAGCATATCGGGTCATATGGGTGGTTCTGTTTGGCACATCCACAACACACAGATCCCCTGTCCCCAATGCTTTTGGCCCCGCTAACTCAGGTCTCCTCCCAAAGGAGCAGGGGTACTTGTATTGCTTATCATGTTTCACCTCTTGGGACCTTCCCGTCGTTCCTCTGTCTCCCAGCCCATCCCTCTGCCCCAAATCCCCCTCCCCATCTGCTCCTCTCCCTCGTGCGCCACCCGCCATCCCTCCGCGTCCTCGCCCCCCCCCCTCTTTCTCTCCCTCCCTTCCCCGGCCCTCTCTGTCTCCCTCTCCCCATCTCCTCCTGCATCCTCCCCTCCCTCGCTTTCTCTGCCCCCGCCCCCACGTGTTCATACTCAGGACTCCAACCCCCCTCCCACGAACAGAAACGTCCTCGAAATCCAAACTGAGGTGGTGAATTCGCGCGGAGCGCACCCTCCAATCTAAGCCACCAGGCCTCCTGGAGCCCCCCCCCCGAGGTGACCCTGATCAGCGACCTGCTCCGGCCCCTCCACTTCATGGAGAAATCCAGCGACGAGGAGGAGCAGTTTGATTTCGAGATCTTGGACAAGACCCCTCACCCGTCCCTGGGGCCCAGAGGCCCGCGGCGACGTTCGAAACGGAAGGGGGGGCTCTTCCGCGCCCCCGCCCCCTGGCGGCGGGAGGCCCTGCTGAGTAGGCAAGCGCGAGCACCTCGCCTCCAGAGGCGGATTGTCTGGATGCAGCCTTCAGTCTGGGCTATCCTGGCGCAGTGGCCCCTGGATCGGGCCGCATAGCCCGTAACCGTTGTGGGGATCTTCCAGGAGCTGCCTCCGGTGGCGGGGCGCGGCGCCGCTCGACGAAGGCGCGCCCCCGTCTCTCCGGGGCCGCCTCGAGGCAGCCGCGGTGGCCGAGCTGCCGCAACTGCAGCTGGGCCAGCCAGGCCGGCCAGCTTCTCACGGCGGAAGGCCTTCGGTATAGCTTTTTCGGCCCTCGGGGGCATTTGCCAGGCCCCAGGGCCGTCCAAGAGCCATACAGAGACCTCTGGACATCCGCCATGCGAGGAACGGGCGACGTCGGAAGCGCGGGTCCCCGAACCTCCGAGGGAGGCCGGGACACAGTGGATCTGCGCCTTTTCCGCGCGCTCTGCCGCAGGAGGCGGCCTTCTGCGCGAGGGCGCTCCAGGACGAGAAGCCTGTCCCATGGGGGTGGTCCTGCGCTGGAGCCCCGTGGCGGCGCCTCCAGCGCCGGACCAGCGCCGATGCAAGAAATCAAAGCGAACCTCCGATGGTTGATATTTCGAGCCAAAACGAGGAGTTATTAAGGACGGGTGGTAAGGACGAAATGGCCCCTGGAGGCCGACGTTGGGATTCTTCGGACGGGCTGCGTAGGCAAGGCTTCGAGGGCACCCCGGATGATGAGGGCGCGCGCTCTCTATAGTCTTTGTTTCTCGACGGTCGTTCGACAAGATTTGTTCTCCACTGGATGTTTATGTTATTAGGGGAACGAGAAATGGCATGGACATGACAACTCGGAGGTCCGCGCGGACTTCGTGGATCCGCGCTGGACCCCCCTCCCTGGCGCGCGGAGCGCGCCAGGGGCGGCGCCAGAGGCGCCGCCAGGGTGCCCCAGCGCCGATCCGAGAAATCTGCGCGGAACCTAGTTTTCTTGTTTGTAAAACAAATGTTCCCTACCTAGGCTCTGCCTAGAAGGGTTCTTACTCTCTAGCTTAAAGGGGCCGGGCAGTGGAAAGCGCCCCGGGCGGTTCCCCCGGTCCCCGCCCCGCGGTTCCCCCAGTCGCGCCCCCTTAGCTTGGCTTAGCTTATCTCGTCTTAGCTTAGCTTGGCTTAGCTTAGCTTGGCTTAGCTTAGCTTAGCTTAGCTTAGCTTGGCTTAGCTTAGCTTAGCTTAGCCTAGCTTAGCTTAGCTTAGCCTAATGTAGCTTAGCTTAGCGTAGCATAGCATAGCATGGCATAGCATAGCACATCATAGCATAACATAGCACAGTATTGCATATCATAGCTTAGCATAGCTTAGCATGGCGCCGCCTTAGCTTGGCTTAGCTTATCCCGTCTTAGCTTAGCTTGGCTTACTGTAGCTTAGCTTTAGTTTAGCTTGGGCTTAACATTATCTTAGCTTTAGCGTAGCTTTAGCTTAGCTTGAACTTAGCTTCAACTTAGCTGTAGCTCAGCTTTAGCTTAGCTTTAGCTTAGCGTCAGCTTAGCTTCAGCTTAGTTTTAGCTTAGCTTTAGCTTAGCTTTAAGTTAGCTTCAGCTTAGCTTTAGCTTAGCTTCAGCTTAGCCTTAGCTTAGCTTTAGCTCAGCTTTAGCGTGGCTTTGGCGTTAGCTTAGCTTTAGCTTAGCGTTAGCTTAGCTTTAGCTTAGCTTCAGCTTAGCTTTAGCTTAGATTTACAGTTACTAATGCTGCTTTCCTAGGGGCTCCAACTCCTAGGTAGGGTCGCACTGGGATAATTTATGTCACTGTTCGTTCCCCTGGTTACAGAGGCACCCTGCCGAGAACAACTCTTGTCGAACGACTGTCGAGGAGCAACGATTGCAGAGGGCGCGCGCCCTCATCATCCAGGGTGCCCCAGCGCCGATGCGAGAAATCTGCGCGGACCTCCGAGAATTGTTTTCATGTTTGCGCCATTGCTCGTTCCCCATGTGCAATTTCATACACATCCTGTCGAGAACAAATTTGAGGGCGCGCGCGCCCCCTGTAATCTTTGCTTCTCGACGGTCGTTCGACACTGCTTGTTCTCGACAAAATGTTTGTGTACACATTGTTCATTTCTGCCTCTTCCTGGCCACCAGGGGCCATGAGCACTCAGAAACGAGCACGACCAGAAACGAACGCGATCAGAAAGCAACGACGTGTAAACATCTCGTCGGGAACAAACATATGAGGGCGCGCGCCCTCCGTAATCTCTGCCTCTCGACTAGCTGTTCGACGCGCTTCGTTCTCGACGCGATGCGCTCTCGACGAGGTGCTCGACGCGAGGCCGCTTCTCTGCACGGGCCCTCCGCGCACGCGGCGGGAGGCGGGCCGCCCGCCGGGGCTCCGCGGGAGCGCCCCCGGCGGGAGCGCGCTCGCGGGGCGGGGGGGGGGCGGGGCGGCGGGGCGGCGCGCGGAGGCCCCCGTGGGGGCCCGGGGGCGGACGCGCTGCCACGACCCCCGTTGGTGCGATCCTCTCCGCGGGGGGGCGGCGGGCGGCCACGCCGTGCGGCGGGTCGGCGGGGGGATTCGTCGGAGGCCCGGGCGGTTGACTCGCGGGGGCCCCCAGACGGGGCGGTGACCCCTCCTCCTCCCTTCTCCTCCTCCTCCTCCTCCTCCTCCTCCTCCTCCTCCTCCTCCTCATCCTCCTCATCCTCCTCATCCTCCTCCTTTTACTCCTTTTCCTCCTTTTCCTCCTCCTCCTTCTCCTCCTCCCCCTCCTCCTCCTCGTCGCTCCTCCTCCGTGTGGTGACCACACCGTGTGGTGAGTCGGTGGGGATTCCGGGGTCGCCGCACGGGCTTTGGGACTCGGGGTCGTGATCCGAGGGCGTCTCGGGCGAAGGGGGCCTCCAGTCGGGCCGAACGCAAGGGGGGGAATAGGGAAAGGGGGGGGTGCGAAATCTGCTGCATGCAGCTGGTTTCGGCTCCGCCGCCAGGCCCATTTTTCGACACATGGGCGCCTCCCGGCGCCGGGAGTCGCTTGGAAAATCAGCTACGCGAGCTGATTCTCAAACCCCCCCGTTGCTATCCCCCCCTTTCGCCAGGCTCGATCCAGGGTCCCAGGACCCTGCGGGGACGGAGCGTGCGCGGTGAGGTCTCTCGTGGGGTTCTGGGGCCACCGCACGGTCTGTCGCCGCACCGTTTCGGGACTCCAGAGGTCCTTGTCTGAGGCATCGTTTTGCCGATCGGCGCGGGCCGTCGCACCACCACCAAGACACCCCAACCCAACCCAAAGGCCTCAAGTTGCCCTCCGTTCCCACTGGGTTGTGCGTCGGGGAACGTCCCTGGTTGTGCGTCGGGGAACGTTCCTATTGAGAAAAAACACACGGGGAACCCGTCCCCCTCCCCAATCCGCAGTCTGGGTCTTCGGGTTAGGTTAGAGTGGTCTGATGAGTAGATCTTGGCTGTTTTTGGCAACTGTTTCAAGCAGGTGGAGTAAGCGCCGGGGCCCCGCCTCCCCGTGGGATCTCCCATGGGAGCACTACTCCGAACAGTCGCGCTAAGCTTAAGTCGGGCCTGTCCCTCTACAGGAGGAGTATTCCAAAATAGTCAAAACATTGTCTGGGGACGATTTGTGGAGGATTGGTTTTGCTATGCTTGGGTATTTGTTGGGTAAGTTTAATGTTTCGTCCAAAATCCGCCTGTAGGGGGACATGCCCGACCTAACACTTAGCAGAGGTCCAGAGCCAGATCCCCCTTCCCTTCCGCTCGATGTCGAAACGCCGAACGATAAAACGTTCGCCATGCAGTCGCCGGTGACCGCTTAGTCTGTGGTTATGTGATCGCCCGTGCTGCCCGACGATTCGCCTCCTCCGTCGCCGCTGACAAGGCATCTGTGTTCACCCCGAGCGCTTCCACACTTTGGCTCGGAGGTGCAGGTGGGCCATCCTGATTATTGCGGGTGTCTGTCTATCACCAGAAAATGTGAGAATTACGCTGACGATGGCGAAGTCTTCGAATTCTGGAGGACACCAAGCCAACGAGGCAAGTTGAATATGCGGATCAACACGTCTTGGCCGAAGAATGAGAGGACGAAACCGAAGAAGCTTATCATCTCCCTTGCCAAGAATGTGTGATGACACTGGCTCTGCATGTAGCGCCTTGCCAAGAGTGTGTTGTGAAGCTGGAGTTGTCTTTGCTTATCTCCACCTAGTGGCTGAGTCAGA